CTGGGGGGGGGATGGACCTCGTCCAGCGTCATCAGCTGGGTGTTTGGGGCTGGTGCTCTCCCTGAAATCCGCTGTGTGAGCATCCCTCACCAGTTCTGATGACGGATGCTCAGAGCACCTGGCTTTTGGGTCCGATGGAGCACTCAGTGGCTGCTTAGGGCTTATGTTAAGCCCTATTATTTGTGGCAATCTAATTATGGAATAACTGTATTTTGTGAATTTTACTATAAAGAATTTGATCCTGTTACCCAATCATTATATTAACAATTAAATATTAGCACGGGAGCAATAAATTAGGGGTTTGGGATAAACAGATACACACTACCATGTATAAAATAGATAAACAAGGATCTGCTACAAAACATATACATGGATATTTGTATATATAATATATATATCTGAATCACTTTGCTATACACTGAAACTAACACAGGGTTGAAAATCAACTTTGCTTCAATAAATTATTTTTAACTTAAAGAAACCAATTTAATAGTAATTAGATCTGATTGCAATTTACTGCTGAAGCATCAGCACATCCTTCTAGTTTTCATGGCCTCTCAGTCTGGTCCATCTGCACATGTCCAGCAGGATTTCTTCCTTTTGCCCATGTGGCTGCTCACCCCTGGACCACTGATCTTCCTCCCGTGCTGGGCAAACCTCAGTGATTTCTGAGACCAGGGCTGGGGAGCCCCCTCCACTAGGCACTGGCTCCTTCCTCCAGGAAAGAATTGTAGGACTGTTAGTCCATCATGACTACATTTAGGGGCAACATTTGCCATCTAGTCAAAGCTATGGTTTCTCCAGTAGTCTTGTATGGATGTGAGAGTTGGACCATAAAGAAAGCTGAGCACTGAAGAATTGATGCTTTTGAACTGTGATGTTGGAGAAGACTCTTGAGAGTCCCTTGGACTGCAGGGAGATCCAACCATTCCATCCTAAAGGAAATCAGTCCTGGATATTCATTGGAAGGACTGATGCTGAAGCTGAAACTCCAATCCTTTGGCCACCTGATGTGAAGATCTGACTCATTGGAAAAGACCCTGATGCTGGGAAAGATTGAAGGCAGGAGGAGAAGGGGACAACAGAGGATGCGAATGTTGGATGGTATCACGGAATGATAGACATGAGTTTGAGCAAGTTCCAGGAGTTGGTGAAGGATAGGCAGGCCTGGCGTGCTGCAGTCCATGGGGTCACAAAGAGTCAGACACGACTGAGTTACTGAACAACTGTTGGTTCTTTAATGGACCGGAACCTGGTGGTCCGGAGTCGATGATAAGAAAGTAAGAGAGAAAGAGGCTGATAGCGCTTGTTGGTCCTTTAATGGACCGGAACCTGGCGGTTCCGAGAGTAAGAGAAAGACAGGAAGAATAGAAAGAAAGACATGGGACCAAAGTTCTGATGGAGCAAAGGCATTTTTAATCAACATGGCGTGGGCATATATACTGTCTTATAAGTGGTTATTCTCAGCAAAGACAAAGATTATAATTCCAGATTTACAAAACATAAGACGATCCCTATCAAAGAGAGAGTTGCAGACGATCACCTTTTACCATTTGGCTCATAATAAGGAAGTGGGTACTTATCACTGTAATAGATTCCTCAGCCCCGGGAAAGGCGTGCCTCTCCTCATAATTCCTGAATATTCATGAATCAATAAGAACCAGAGGGTTCCTGACAGATCCAAACAGCACACGGGAAGCCTCTGGTTCAAGGCTTCCTGACAGACAACAACAGGAGTTGGAGAGAGATTCAAAATATTTGACAAGCAGAATGGGGTCAGTAGGGGCACCAGCCATAAAGCCTGGATGCAGTGAACAAGGGTGTGCTGATGACGGGCCCCAAATACGGAGCTTGCAGCCAGAACAGAGCTAGAAAACTAGAGAACTGTAAATGATTGAACGTGATCTTAGACAATAAATGGATGAGAAGGTGAAACAGGTGCTTTGAGAAAGAGAAGATTGGCTAATATGGCCAAAGAATGGGATGGGCTGGAGTGGGGGAGAAAAGGACGGGGGGTCAGCCAGGTCGGATGTGCAGCTTAGATGACACGAGTGGGTTACAATTCTGCTGTCTTTTCCTGTCATACAACTTATCGGGAATACAAACACTAATGCATTATTAACAGACTGTCAGACCCCAGAAAGTGCAGATGGCTGGGTATGTTAAGAACTACATGCATTAATCATGAAGGTTTTTAATCTCCTGGTGCTCACTCACATAATGACAGTACAGGTTTTTATTTTTTCTGCTAAACTTACTGGTGTAAACAAAGTGATAACTTCAGTGAGGACTGGAAACAGAACTCTTAAATTAAAACCAATTTGACAAAATAAATACAACAAACGAGGATGTTTTTATTTTAAGGATCTGTTAAATGTCCCAATAAACTTTTCTGGGGGCTTCCCTGCTGGCTCAGGTGGTAAAGAATCCTCCTGCAATGCAGGAGGCCTGGGTTCCATCCCTGGGTCGGGAAGATCCCCTGGAGAAGGGAAAGGCTACCCACTCCAGCGTTCTGGCCTGGAGAGTCCCATGGACTGTGTAGTCCATGGGGTCGCAAAGAGTCCGACACGACTGAGCGACTTTCACTTCGCTCCTTTTTGTCAGAGACCAGTTAGAGGCATAAACAAATACAAAACTCAAACAGTGATGAGAGAAAAGAGTAATGATGATTCCGGCTGAACGGAATTCTGCTTTACTGGCATAATCAAAAGAAGCCTGTGGAGTGTACTGAATAAAGGTGAAAAGCAGGTGGATCATAAACAAAGAAGTAGGTCTAAACAAAGAAGTAAATTTAAATGTCTAAATCTGATGTACTTTGTAAGGACACCAAGAAGCTATTGATAAGTGTAAAGTTTCCATTTCTCTATAATGACATGAGGAAGTGATTGACCATGCATGCCTGCTCAGTCACTCAGTCGTGTCCGATGCTTTGCAAGCCTGTGGCCTGTAGCCCAACAGGCTCCTCTGTCCATGGGATTTTACAGGCAAGAATAGGCACCCACGTGTACCTGGATGTCCTGGGCCTGCGGTGGCTTCAGGTGGAGACAGATACAGACCTGTGCTCAGCGAGTCTGTGGTCAAGTCAGCAATCCCCTGGTGAAATAGAATTCATATTTTAAGGCAGGAGAAGAAAAGCGAAGCCCGAGATTGTCTCTGTGCCCGTGCAGGCCGCCTCCCTGCGCCTGGCTGTGTGGTGTGCACCGGCCTCGGGCATCAGCCAGAGCTCCTCGGCGGCACACGTGCCTGCTCTGCTGGACCAGCTTTTGTCTTTCTCCTGACACCCCCGGTGCAGACTCATAAAAGGACAGCGTTCTTCCCCAGCTTTGTAGGGGGACACGGTGACTCTGCTCCTTTGTATGTGTTTACCTGGGCTGTGTGCCCGTAGGGAACTGCATGTAAAATATCAATGTCCTTTTGATGTATGGTCCTTTGTCCCTGTAGTGTGTATGACGGTGCCTTTGACTTCTAACCCCTACTACGATGTTGAGTGCTCATGATAGAAATGGGCACCCGTTCCCGTCTGGGGCTTCCCTGGTGGCTCAGTGGGTAAGGTGTCTGCCTACCGTGCAGGAGGCCTGGGTTCGATCCCTGGGTCAGGAAGGTCCCCTGGAGAAGGGAAAGGCAACGCACTCCAGTGTTCTGGCCTGGAGAATCCCATGGACAGAGGACCTGGAGGGCCACAGCCTGTGGGTCACAAAGGGTCAGACACGACTCAGTGACTTCACGGCTCATCTCTGGGCTCAGAGGGGAAGCAGTCCGTGGAGCTTCTGCTTTCGGGGTCGTATGGATACAATTTCCTTTGTCCTTCTTAACCGGCCATTCACTGAACTCTAACCAACACACCTGATGGCCAAGACAAATGCACGGGGAGACCCTGGGTTAAAGGCTCTGGGGGTCGGGGCTAGGGTGAGGATTATTGTCTACTGTCAGTCCAGCCTTGGGGGGCCCCTGAGGACAGCGCCGTGAGAGCTGAGGTCCTGAGGGTTAATTCTGCTAATTACAAGCTAATTAGGGGGAAGGAGAGGGCAGGAGTTTGGGGATCACTCATGAGGTAGAATGACGTGGAGAAAAGCAGAAATAACCTAAGTGCTAAGTCACTTCAGTCAAGTCCGACGCTTCGTGACCTCACGGACCGTAGCCCACCAGGCTCCTCTGTCCGTGGGGTTCTCCAGGCAACCATACTGAACTGGGTTGCCATGCCCTCCTCCAAGGGATTTTCCTGACCCAGGGATCAAACTTGCAGCTCCTGAATTACAGGCGAATTCTTTACCGACGGGCCACCGGGGAAGCCCAGAAATAAGAAGGATCTTTGCAGAGGGGTTTGCTGTCAGTAGTTAACAACGAGTTTTCTCTTAACAAGATCAGTAAATAGGTCCACAAGACATCCTCAAACAGACGTGGGGAAGATAAAAAGTCGTGGATTTTGACTGGTGTAACGTCACCCACTAGCCTTAGACCCTAATAATTAGACTCTCGCTTAGGGCGGCTCAGAAAGAACGAGGGAATGGTGTTCCTTCCAAATGTCCTCTTTCCCCTTTAGATATCTAGGTATCTGAAATTTCTAGGAATATTTATCACTGCTTAAAAAAAAAACTCTTCCAATATTACAATTAATATTTTTTAAAATCTTTATTATGCAACATTTTGTAATATACATAAAATTAGAGGAAAATGTATCCATCAGTCAATTTCAATAACTATCGACTCACAGTCAATCTTTTTCCTTTCGTGCCTGCACTCAGCCCATCCTCATATAGATTCAAACACAGAGATAATTTTGCTTCTTCCTCCAATAAGGGTAACGTTTATCCTTTGATTTCTTTTTTCTCCCTCCACCCCTACCCCCAGCCCCAATTACCTTATGAGAACCTCCACAATGCTGTTGAATACGCCTGGTGAAATTGGACACCCTTGTCTTGTTCTTGGTCTCAGAAGGGAAGTTCTCAAACTCTTACAACTGAGGGTGACATTAACTCTGAGGTTTTCATTGGTGGCCTTTATCAGATTGAAGAAGTTTCCTTCCATTCCAAATTTGGTGAGTTTTGTTGTTTTTTTTTTAAATTGTGAAAGAGTGTTGCTTTTTCCGTGTCAGCTGAGACGAAATGAAGTGAAGTGAAGTGAAAGTCGCTCAGTCGTGTCCGACTCTTTGCGATCCCGTAGACCACATAGTCCATGCAATTCTCCCGGCTGGAATACTGGAGTGGGCAGCCTTTCCCTTCTCCAGGGGATCTTCCCAACCCAGGGACGGAGCCCAGGTCTCCCGCATTGCGGGCGGATTCCTTACCAGCTGCGCCACCAGGGCAGCCCCAGCTGAGATGACCGTTTGGTGTTTCTTTTATTCCACCAAAGCGACCTGTGACGTGACTGGTTCTTGCACGCGGAACAACTTCCATGTTCTTAAAGGGAACACCGCTTTGTCACGGCGTACAGTCTTTTTATACGTTGCTAGGTTTGCTTTGCAGGTGTTTTGTTGAGGATTTCTGTGTTTATGTTCACGGAGGATGCTGGTCCGTCGTTTCTTTTTGCTCTGTGATCAGTCTTACTGGTTTTGGTGTCAGGGTAACACTGGCCTCGTGGAGTGAGTTAGGAAGAGTCTCTCTTCTCTTCCTTAGGAAGAATCTGTGAAGGACTGGTATTGATCCTTCCTTCTTTTTTTTTTTTCAGGGCAGAATTTTAAAAATCATTTATTCATGAATCTGGAATGGATTCCCTCTCCCCCAACCCCCACCCCCCACACACATGATGACAAGAGGAAAAGGTGGCAAACAGTGGTGTCTGGTCTTATTACACAGTGATGATTCAATTCTCAAATCAGTCTACTGATCACAACAAAGAGGACGCTAACATCAATGAACTCAACACGATCACGTTTAAGAAGTTCATCAAAATCGGGTCTTTCTTATGAAAGAGGATTTGGAGTACGACCTCAGACAAGAATAACAGCACAGTTCTCTCCAACAATGTCTATTTCACGGCACTCTGCCTCCACAGAGGAGCTAGCTAGTGAAGTTCACAGTTCACTTGGGGGGTTGCCTTGCAAGTTTCAACCTCAGCCTCAGTCTCCTGGAGGTCAGATTGGCTAATGTCCAGAAGTTGTGTGTGTGTGTGTGTATGTGTATGTGCACGCATGCGTGCACACAGACTTTTTGTGACCCCCATGGACTGTAGCCCACCAGACTCCTTTGTCCATGGGATTTTCCAGGCAAGAACACTGGAGTGGGTTGCCATTTCCTTCTCCATGATCCTTTCTTCAAGTTTGGCAGAATTCACAGTGAAGCCATCTGAGGTGGGAATTTTTTTTGTGTAAAATGTTTAATTACTAATTAAATCTCTTTGGTTAAAGTCTACTCAGACTTTCTATAACTTCATGAATTATTTCCAGCAGTTTCTGTTTTTCTAGGAATTTGTCCATTTCAGCTAAGTTATCCAATTTTTTGTCATAAAAGTGCATTTTTTATTCACTTCTACTTTTGTTTTTTCCACAAAAGTGCAAGCAGTGGGAAGCTGCTTCCTGCTTCCTGAGGCCCCCTGCCAGCTCTCCTCTCCCGGGAAGCCCCTCCCCAGCTCTGCCTCGGTGTCCCCTGCTGCCACCCCGGAGCCCTCCAGCTCTGCTCTGGGCGGGTCCACGCTCCTTCAGATGTGGCTGTGTCACGGGCACCGCCTGGATTCTGGGAGCTGCAGATGCCCCGAGCTGGGCTGTGCCTCTCGGTGGGGCTCATGGCCACCGCAGGCCTGTTGTCAAGGCCGCCTGCCCTCCCCTGCGTCTTAACCTCAGACAGGGACACCCTCCGGCTTCCTCGCTCGTGGTGGATCATCCTCACCTGCTCACGTTCAGGGCTGCAGGTCGCCCTTGTCGCTTGGTTTTGTTGTGAATGTCCTTGTGGGTTTGGGAGGCCCTCAGCTTCCTTCCTGTAAAATGGCGTGAACACACCCCAAAAAGGCTGTGCAATGCGCCCCAGCAATGACATTTCACAAGCTCCTCCCTTAATGTGGAAATCCTAGAGCTGAACTGTGGCGTAATTACGTTGCCTGTTTCATTTATTTTTTAAAATGAAACAAAGATGAATATTTTTAATGATAAAAGGTACAATTCACAAAGAAGATAGACATCATAAAGCAGTCAACACCCAGCAACAAAGAAACAAAGATAAAGACAAAAGTCAGAGGAAACATGGGGAAAAGAAAAGAATATATAATCGTAATGAGACATATTAGCATTTCTCTGAGAATATTTTATCAAGTACCTGCTTCATTTATGAGTAAAATTAGTGGGAAGGTATCTTTGAGTACCCCAAAAACCTGTATAGGTACAAATGAAGTTTAAAATTTAAAAAGAGTGATAAAATCATGAAATGCAAAACAGTAAGCAGCAGGTATTTTACCGGCTCGTGGGCCATTTCTGTGTCATCTGAGAGAACAGTAAGTGTGTTCGGCTTAGGTTCAGAATCCGCAAAGGAGAGCTTGAATTTTAAAATTGGAACCATAAATATTTAACTCTGACAAACTGTCCACTCATTTTTTAATCATAAAAGTAAATCAATTAAATCTGTATTACATGAGCTAGTGATGACCTTTCTCCAGAAGTTTTGTTTGTATTGACTACCTGACTGGTTATGATAAATTGTTCCCCTAGCTTCCTAAGGAACTGAAATCACATTTTAATCTTCATTATGATGGTATTGATCAAGCCTGAAATTGAGCATCAAATTCAAAAGGGCGCATGTACACTTCGGTGCTGTTGAGAAGGTGTTCCCATGGGTTGAGAAAATCCTGAAAAGTAGCCACATCCACACCCTATAGGTCAAGGAATATTAGCTAAACTCATACACAAAACAACCGGCAATCTTTTTCTGTTTGTTTTTGAAACGGCTTTTATTTATTTATTTTTTAACACCAAAAACATTTTCTGCCGGAGTATAGCCGATTAACAATGTTGTGAGAGTTCCAGGTGAACAATGAGGAGACTCCGTCACACACAGACATGCATCCGTTCTCCCATATTTATGCAGAACTCCCTGCCATCCGGGCCGGCACATAGCACTGGGCAGAGTCTGCTGTGCGGTGCTGTGAGTTGGTTATCCATTTTAAACACATCAGGCTGTACGTGACCTTCCCACAGTCCCTCACTATCCCTCCCTCTTAAGTGGAATAATGGAAGAAAAGTAAGCATTCTTCCTAGGTCAATGTTCTTGAAGTAATGAGAACATTCTCATGGTTTGATGTGATAACATCGGACCCTGCTCTGAGCAGATGAGCTAAGCTCTGTGGAGTACACACTCTTTCACAAAGAAACCCAGTAAATGCACAGAGCAGAGACCACAGAGGGCGGCTATGCAGCTCCCACCCTTTGCAGGAGCTCGGCCCACTCCGTCCCCCGGGGCTCCTGATGAGACCTGCAGGCAGGCTCACCCCTCTCGGCTGGAGGGGCATATGCTTCCCTGCCGGTCACGGTGTGGGCACGGGGAGCTGGTGAGCACACCCCAGCCCGCGGGCAGCCCGCAGCGAGCAGCTGTTGGGTCTGGAGTGACAGCGCTGCTGTCCCACCCTTGGCACACACTGGCCTGGGTGGGCATCAGCTCAGCGCCCTGAAGATTTCCCATCCTCTGCCCGTTTCAAGGCCAAATGGCAGCCTCAAAGGTCAGGGCTGTGTTATGGACCCTGATATCCCTTATCACTCGGGGTCTTGTCAGGTTTAAGTCTGGAATTATTGTGGTCGTTCAGTCGCTCAGTCGTGTCCAACTCTGTGACCCCGTGGACTGCAGCATGCCAGGCCTCCCTGTCCTTCTACTCCCGGAGCTTGCTCACACTCATGTCCACGAGTCGGTGATGCCATTCATCCACCGTGTCCTCTGTTGTCCCCTTCTCCTCTTAGCCCTTGCCTCTTGAATTACCTGGAACCAGTTGTAAGAAAACCAACAGGATTTAATCTTTTAAAAAGAGACGGCTCACATCAGTTCATCTGACTGTTTCCCCCCACTGAAGCGGTGGTCCCTCCCAGGCCCCCCCAGCTGAGTCCTGGACTCCATGGGGCAGTCTTGGTGGGCGTCCTGACTGATGTCCTGGGGCAGTCTTGGTGGGCGTCCTGACTGATGTCCTGGGGCAGTCTTGGTGGGCGTCCTGACTGATGTCCTGGGGCAGTCTTGGTGGGCGTCCTGACTGATGTCCTGGGGCAGTCTTGGTGGGCGTCCTGACTGATGTCCTGGAGGCACCTTCGGTGCCCCTGTGGACGCCCCCGTCACACAGGAACCCAGACTGTCCGGGCGCGGCTTTGGCGTGTGGGCTCCATACTTGCTGCTTAAATGCTCAAGGCCACCTGCCCCTCTGCTGTGCCTGTTCTCTGCTTTCTGAAGAGTGTCATTTTTCACTTTCCAAACCTCAAGACTAATACATTAAAGTGAATGAGGCTCTGGTTACTTTATTTGAGCGCTTTATGTTTCATCCTGTGATCACCCCTGAGAATTCACGTTCTCAGATCTGCATTATTTTATCAAAAGCTTCTTGGTTTCTCCTGTATATCTCCTTGAGTAGGAATTTGGGGGCACAGAGACTTTTCTGGTCTGTGTGAGGTTCGTGCTGTGTGTGAATGCGCTGCATCTCAGGATGACGCAGGTGTTGGTCTGAGGGTCTGAAGTTTGCGGGTCCATTGTCAGCTCCGTGTCCTGCCTGGGAGACGGTCTCTGGGGCAGGGTGCGCAGGCTGGGGCGGGGGGCAAAAGCGGAGAGACAGATTTCAGCACAACTCTGCACCATTTTCTTCTATCCCTCTCACATGCATGCACTTTTAGACAAAATATCAGGTGAATAGAATATTGTGTTCTCTCTTAAGTCCAAGCATAAAGTCCATCATCTCCCACTAGGGAATCTTGTCGCACGTGGGGGCTCCGTATTTCTGCCCTGTGCTAGGCGGATCTACACACACACAGGGTGTGTTATGTTATGAGGGCTGCACTAGGCACCCCCACCTTTCCTGGCAGTAGGTATCACATTTCCACTTTATTTCCTGTAACTGACTCTAAGCACCTTCTGCCAAGCCACCTGAAGAAAAACCACTAATTGAGGGGGAAAGAAACCCTGAAAGCTGATCCCTTTTAACGCCATTCTCTCAAAAGCCAACGTTAAAAAAGACAAACCTCAACACACTGGCGTTTGCAGGTGTGACTCTGAAGCTGCTGTCAGGGCCCTAAATTATTTAAGACATGAAATTAAAGCTTCACCCAGGAGCCCGGAGTCCTGATCCCACAACAGAGGGCTTCGCCGGGGCTTGAGCCCCACTAATGCATACTGGAAGGAGCACATGAGCTCAAAGAGCCCCAGGACAGCCCTGGGCAGGTGAGAGCCGTCCTCGCAGGCTCCTGGTGGGACGCCTGGGGACACGTGCTGCCTGCCCCCGACGC